GGGCAGGGGAAGGCCAGAGAGAGAGGGAGGGAGAGAGAATTGCCAGCAGGCTCCGCACTGACAGTGTACTGACTCAGGGCTCGAACCCATGATCCGTGAGATCATGACCTGAGGCAAAAATCAAGAGTTGAAGCCTTGGGGCGCCTGGGTGGCTCCGTAGTCCGACTTCAGCTCAGGTCATGACCTCACGGTTCATGGGTTCGAGCCCCACGTCGGGCTCTGTGCTGACAGCTGGCTCAGAGCCTGGACCCTGTCTTCAGATTCTGTGTCTGCCTCTCTGACCCTCCCCTGCTCATGCTGTCTCTATCTCTCTCTCTCAAAAATAACTCAAATATTAAAAAAAAAAAAAAAAAGAGTTGAAGCCTTTACCTGACTGAACCACCCAGGTGTCCCAAGCATAATGTATTTTTGGAACAAGTTTTTCTTCACAGTATTTTAAGTAACTGTCTGGATTTTTTTCTTTTTCCTCTTGTAGGGCTAATACTGCTGGGCTCCTCCAAGCATCAAAATATCAGATTTCAAATCACTCATTGGATATTACATTTTTCCACTCTCTGGGCTTTGGAGCAAAAATTAACAAACACACCTGGAAGTTACCACTAAGGGAAAGAAGGAAGGGCTGAAGCTCTGAGGAGAGAGCAGGTTGAGGGCTTAAGGAGCACAGACCTAAATTCAAGCCGTGCTCTGTCACACAGTAGCTGGGGGCCCTTCTCCTGGGAGCAGTTTCTTCACTTGACTGTGGTGTATAATGGGGTTCCAGAAGCTTCTCTCACCACTTCTCAGCCTAAGTACAGTGTAAGTCGCCTGGGAACAAGCTTTCTTTGTTAAGGCTAGTGTTCTCTGAGCGGTCTCCTATAGTTATGTAAACATGGCTGAGTGGTGGTGGGGGGCCTTTGAAATGCAGAGCTCACCGCAGGGGATGGAGGAAAGCAGGTTGTATTCAAAGCCCTTTGGGCAGGGGGGAGTTTGAGACCCCCCCTCCCCCGTCAGCAGCGGGCTCCCCAGGATCAAGTTGAGGACTGACTAAAATCTATTGTCAGGGGAGGCCTGGAAATTTGCACCCCAGGGACAGAGGCCTGAGAGCGGGCTGTGTAAGTGACCGAGAGCCACAGGACTCAGTACCCCTAACTTGCGACTGCTCTTTGCAGAAGGATGGCTGCGCTACTGGGGGTGGTTAAGAGAAGGATCACTTCAGGGAGCCTGGGTGGCTCAGTCGGGCTCGGTGCTGACAGCTCAAGAGCCTGGAGCCTGCCTCAGATTCTGTGTTCCCTTCTCTCCCTGTCCCTCCCCCCTCCCTACCCACCCTCCCCTGCCGCTGGCTCACACTTTATCTGTCTCTCTCTCAAAAGTAAATAAACGTTAAAGAAATTTTTTTTAAAAAGAGAGAGAAGGATCACTTTGTGTGAAGTGTGGGCCTTGCTACAGCTTGTGCCCTGCGCCGGCCGTGCCCCACAGCGCCACCGTGTGGAGGGGCAGGCGACAGCTGAGGAGGGCAGCACAGATTTTCCAAAGCCTTTGGACTTTTGGAGTTCTCACTGAGGAGGCCTTAGAAGTTCTGAAGAAGTTCTGTACAATTTGGGAGTAAGTGGGCTCCAAGAGGGAGGAAAAATAATTTTTCTTAGACTTCCCCTGTAATAAAAGATAAACAGAAGTTGAGCAACACGGGCGCTTCGTGTGTGCACAGGAGATAACCTAGGAAAACTGAGTAAAGCTCCACGAAATCGGTCAAAGCCACCACCCTAAATACCATCTTCAGCCAAAGATAAGAGAAAGAAGTTAGGACAGATTGTGCATCGTTGGAGGTGGAGTGGGGGGGCGTGCAGGGGCAGGGAGGGGGTGGTGAGTTGTGAGAAGATACCCGAAAAGCACAGCCAACACGGTCAGGGTCAGGTCAGGGTCAGGTCGTTAGGCAGATTTAAGCCCCTGCCCTCTGCATCGGTACTACTTGCGATTTCCAGCCATCTTTCTCTTTCTGGTACAGAGAGGCAGACCCAAGTGCAGATCTCTTTTACAAGTTTAAATGTCCCCTTACAGAAGAGGAACATCCACTCATTCTCCAGAGCTTCTCCTGTGTCAGCTGTTTCTGCAAAATAACCAGCTCCAGATAATTCTTATGCCAAAGGGGCACACTTTGGAATGTCATATACTCTGCTTCAATTTTCTGCCCATGAGGGGACAGAAGCTGGCACTCCATCACTCGCTGAGAAACAATGAAATGTATCTGAATTCGTACCCTGAGGGATGGTCATCCCCATTATACATGTGAGGTGCCAGGCATATTGACTCAGCCCCATAAAATGGCAGCTGTCATCACTGTTACCTGGAAGGCCTCCCGGATTGGCCTTTGTCCCTGTTTCCCCAAATGATTAGCAACCGGTCACGTCCTTGGAGGCAGCCAGGTCACACCCCCAGGCCGACTGAGGAAACCACGGTCAGATGAGTGGAAGGGCCACAGCCAGGCTCGGGAGCTGGCTGAGGGCGGGGGTGCCCTCCAGGCTGGGGCCATTCTTCTGGACAGCTGGCTTGGGGGGCACGGTCTCAGCAATGCTTCTGGTAACCAGCTCCTTCTTTTGTGGAGCCCTGTTCCTGCTGAGGGGACAGAGGAGCCAGGGACAGCAGAGGGGAGGCCTCGGGGTCATGTTCCATGTTCGCAGCCTCATGTTCCTGGGATCGGGGACTGGCTGCCTCCCCATTCCCCAAACGGGACTGGGGTCAAGGACATGTGTCGAGGGTTCCAGTCTGGTCTTCTTTGTTCCCGGCTCTGGAGGGTGTGAGACCCCTCCACCGCATGGAAGACACCTTCACCCTCAGCAGAGGCGCCTCTCTCACCGGGTCACCCCCACCCCGGTCTCTCCCCCAACTCTGCCTGCCAGGCCGCTTTGCTCTCCCTGCTGCCCCCCACCCCCGCCCCAGCCTGGACTGACCTCCTTGCCCTTCTGCCACAGGAACGCCACCCCTCCTTCAGGACAAGAGGCACCGTCACCGCCAGGGGCTGTCACAGGCTCCCCACCCTGTGTTCAGCGGCGTCCTGATACACGGCCGCCTTAGGTAGACTCCCTGACCTTCCTCCCTTCCTCCGGCCATGCTAACCGGGTGCCCCGCTCCACTGCCCGCTCTGCCAGCCCAGGCCTGGGCACCTGAGGTCTAAAATGGGGTCAGCAGCAAGGCTGTCCCTGGGGCTCATGGCTGAGGAAGTTCCCGTGTGGGGTCTCCACCTACAGCCTCCGGTCCACGGGGCCCAGAGGGAGGCACCAGGAGCCCAGGGGAAGGGGGCCCGCACCCAGGGCCCCTGCACCCTGCCCCTTTGCTCTCAGGATCGAGTCTGAACACGTTCCTACAATGCAGGCCTGAAAACAGGCCCTGCGCCCCACGTCCCTCGTCCCTCACAGGTTCCTGTCCGGTTTCTTTTCTTTCTTTCTTTTTTAATGTTTATTTTTTTTTGAGAGACAGAGACCCAGCACAAGTGGGGGAGGGGCAGAGAGAGAGAGAGAGAGAGAGAATGGAGGAGAGAGCAGGGGAGGTGCAGAGAGAGAGGAAGACCCAGAATCCAAGCAGGCTCAAGACTCGGAGCTGAGCTGTTGTCACAGAGCCCGTCACGGGGCTCGATCCCTGAGAGATCATGGCCTGGTGCTCAACTGACTGAGCCACCCAGGCACCTCTCCTATTTTTTTAAAAGTTTATTTATTTCGAAAGAGAGAAAGTGTGTGGGGGGGAGGGGCAGAAAGCTAGGGAGAGAGAGAATCCCAGGCAGGTTCTACGCTGTCAGTGCAGAGCCTGACTTGGGGCTCGAACCCACAAACTAACCGTACACTTAACTGACGAAGCCATCCAGGCGCCCGCCCCTCCCTTCTCATGCCCAGCCCTAGCCCCCCAGCCCTAGCCCCCTGGACAGGAGCTCTTTTCTGATTTACCTGCCTCCTCCTTCCTTCTCTTGCCCCTTCATTCAGGCCCCAGCTGAACCCAGTGCTGCCCCTGGAGCCCCGCCCAGGGCTGGTCCCGTGATCCTTCCAGCTCCCAGTCTCCCGGGTGCCCCCAACCCCCCATGCTCCTGTCCTCTGTAGACTGAGCTCTGGTTTCTACGGCCCCTGGCTTCACAGAGGATGAGGAGTACATGGGGCTGACACCCTGGGGGTGTGACCTGGGCTCGGAGGGCTGTGTGCTTGGTTTAACTCTGTTGTGGCAAACTTGAAATTCTTACCTTTCAAAACCAGGGGCCCTGCATTTTCGTTTTGCACTGGGCCCTTCAAATTACGTAGCGGGTCCTCTGCGACATGGGCGGGTCTGGGCTGAGGAGGAAGAGCTGGAGGGTTCCTTCTTCTGGCAACTTGGACTCAGGCAGCTGGGGCCACGAGGGACACGCATTTAGTCCCGTGTCCCCTTCCGCACTCCTAGATGTAGCGTTATGTTAGGACCCCGCCATTCCTTACACCTGCCTGGAGGAGAGGCCCAGGGCAGGCATCCGGGGTCTCTGCCCTCCTCCGTGATGCCTGGAGCTGGGCGCAGGCAGGGGGCTGCTGGCCTGCTCACTGCGGCCCCAGTGACTCTTCTGGGGACAATTGCTCTCTGCAGCCTAGATGTAAGCAGCTTAGGTCAAGGTTCCCCCTACCCTGAGATCCCCTGGGCCCCCCAAAGCCAGTGTTCCCGTGCTTCTTGTCAACCGTTATCAAGTCTTCCAGGTTGACTGAGGGGACATCAGGGGCCCCAGCAGCTGGTCATGCACCCATCCACCCCCACTCACGGGGAAGCAGGTTCCGTGGGGCCGTACCGTTAGCTGGTGTGTTTCTCCCCATCCAGCGCCTTGCCCAGGGGGCTTCTCTCTGGAATCCGGCCCCCGTGGTCTCTGCTTTAATCTTGGCACCCACATCCCTCTAAAGCCCTTCAAGGGGTCCTTGTGTGCCCACCAGCCAAGGGCAAGGAACAAGCTGTGTCTTTAGAAATCTCTGGCAGCCTTGGTCCCAGGCACTCTCTGAAGGAAACGGTGACAGGAAATTTCACACCAGAAAAAAACCAGCCCCCTTTTATTGAGAAAACAAGAGTTAATCCCGCAATCTCTTCCGAGGTGACTCCACCCTGAGAAATGCAGAGAAGGGGCATCCTTCTGCACCCATTCGATGAGGACCCGTGGCCCCGGGCAAGGTGGCACACCAGGGTCACTCCATCCTTTCACAGGGGCACACGCCTGTCTGCTCAGGCCCTGGAGAAGTAGGCGTGCAGGCAGCGCGGGGTTCTGGAGGGGACGCCGTGACAGGCATGGGGTGGGGGGGGGTGCGGGGGGTCAAGTGGCCGAGGGAGGTGGAATCTTGCTGCACTGCGGGAAGGGGAAGGAAGAATACAACCATCTCCTGAGGCCTGGCACTCTCTCCCTCCAAATTCTTCATAAATAAAACTTCACAGTAATAGAGGAACGTCCATCTCCAGGGCCAAACCAGCTGGTTTCTGGCCGGGGAGCCAGGCCTCGGTGGGACCGCACGGGGCCCTCGACCGGTGGGGCAGCACCGTGACCGTGGGTGGGGGTGGGGTGGGGGCTGGAGCACTGCTCTTTGACCCGGTGCCTGGGGTGAGGGGGGCTGCAGCCCGTCCAGAGGTTCTGAGGATTGCTGAGGTAGTCAGAGCGGCCAGCCGCGCGTCTAGACAGCGGCAGATGGAGCATCATAGGACCCAGCCAGGAGTGAGGCCACCTGGGAGCAGATGCCAGGCAGCACTGAGGGCCTCTGAGGTTCCGTCTCCTGGAGATCCAGGGGCAGGGACTGTGAATGGGGGCAGGGGGCCTGTGAGCCTGCACAGGGCTGAGCTTCTCCTGAAAGGGCAGCCTGGGCCCATGGAGGGGAGACTGAGGCATTTCATGCGAGAACGAGAACCTTCTCTGTGAAGATGAGACGGCCGCACAGGCCCACGCGCGGCCGGGCCTCCCCCGGGCACCTGAGCACAGAGTTCCTTCAGAGGCCACCAGGGCCTCCACCGGGTCACAGAGAAGCAAGCCGGGAACCCAGGTCAGGAGGCCGACCAGTGGCCAGTGACCTCGCTCCCAGGGCTCTCCTCCCGCCATCAGGGCGGTTCCAGACGGTCCTGGGCCTCGGCTCCACTTTCCAGGGGATGTCTGCACAGGGGGGCCCCCTTCCGGCTACCTGCACCCCATCACGCCCAGGGGCACATGCGGCCCCCGCCCTCCGGCTCCCTGTGGGGGACCACGGTCCACGTCCTGGCTCTGGTCCTGGCTCTGGGGCTCCAGACCCATGACTCCCGGGGCTCAAGAGCTCCTGCCGGCGCGGCGCCGGGCCCAGGGTCAGAGCACCTGGAGCTTGCGGGCGCAGGTGAGGTTGCCGTGCACCAGCCCCCACATGGCCAGCAGCTCGGCCGGCAGCAGCTTGTGCACCACGAGCATGGAGCGGAAGAAACAGGGTTCCTTGTTCATGCGGCTGTTGCGGTTCCGAGAGATGCCGAACGTCTTGAAGCCCTCGTGGGCCATGGGCTGCACGCCCAGCACCTCCAGACACATGCCCAGGAAGACGTCGTCGATGGGGTACAGCTCCAGGGTGTCGCAGGCGTGATGCAGGCGCCGGGCCAGGTGGCCGGCCATGAGGAAGCCCCCGCCGCCCGCGTACGGCGGGTAGCTGGCCTTGCTGTACAGGGCGCCCGGGATGTAGTACTTGTTGTCCTTCTTGCGGATCGGCCGGGCGTGCTGCAGGACGTCGCCCACGAGCAGGTCCTCCCGGGGCTGCCGGTCGGCCAGAAATTCGAGCAGGTTGGTGGGGTTGACGAAGACGTCGTCGTCGCCCTTGAAGATGAAGCGCACTTGGGGGCAGTAGATGTCAAACCACTTGAGGAAGTGGATCTCCTTGAGGGTCAGGTTGAAGAAGCTGTCGAGGAAGTCCCACTGCAGGATGTCGCCGTAGAGGCGGTCTTCGTAGGCCAGCAGCTGCTGGTAGTGGGTCTGCTCCTCTTGCTTGGAGGCCGTTCCCAGCAGGAAGAGGGTGCGCACGGCGCCGCGGCCCCTGCCCGCCACCTCCTGCTCCCGGCCCCAGGTCTGGCGGATGGCTTCGCGGCGGTCGTGCTGCGTGATGACCGACTTGACCACCACCAGCAGGTAGACGTCACCGTGGCACTTCTCCGGGTGGTTCAGCAGCATGGGGAAGTATCGGCAGTGGCGGTAGGTCAGGAACTGCCGGAAGTGTGGCTCCAGGCCCTGGAACCAGGGCTGGTGAGTCAAGTTGACGTTGGCCGAGCAGTTAGTGGTGTTGATGTCCCAAGTCTGGGGCCCCCGTGAGGCCACGGGTGTGGGGGCAACCACATCCTTGGGGTTCTTCCAGAAACTGTTGGGGTTCACCAGGCGTCCGCTTGGTTTCTGAGCCTTTTGAGGCTCCAGAGAGGGGGCTGGGGGCGCCTGCAGGAACTGGTTGGGAGTCAGGCTGCGCTGGAATACCGTTACGGCCACAAGCAGGGCCAGGGCCAGGCACACGCTCTTGTAGACAGTCTTCTTCCTGGGGGTGAGGGGCCGGGCGGGGGGGGGACAGAGGAGAGAGGAAAGCGTGAGTGCCCTGTGACTCTCCCAGCAGCCTCGTTTGGAGCTGCAGTCCCAGAGGGACAAGCAGAGCCCGGACACCGACTCCGCTCCTGCAGCCGGTGAGTGGTCAGAGGAGGGTCCTGCGCGCTCTCTCCCACCCTGCCCTCCCTCTTCCAGCACCAGGGAAACCTTGCCGCACAGCGTTTAAGCACCAGCACCGCGGAGTCAGGCTGTTGGGGTTTAAGTCTTGGCTCTGCCACTTACAGGCTACGTGACTCTGAGTGGGTCCCCCTTAACCTCCGCAAACTGTGATTTCTCCTTCCCCTGCGCGAGGCTAACGAGGAACTGCAGTGCTAGCTAACGTGCCTGGCACCCAGTGGGTATGCGCTCCGGGAACGCTGTGCGTCTACAAGGACGACCTCTGGTGGAGACTTCTGCCTAGTCCCCAACCCCCCAAGGCACCCCGTTTGCTTTCATTTCCCGGTACAAGGCTGGTGACCCATTGGGGTGAACCATCCTGGGGGGCAGAGACAGCACCCGCGCTACAGCCTGGGAGCTCAGTACCCTCTGGGGGGGACTCGGGGGAGAGTATGTAACCTGGGACCTGAAGAAGTCTGTCCCTTCCCCTTCCACCCCATCCGTCTGACCCAGCGCACAAGAGCTGTCTTCATGTGTGACCGAGGCCGGAGGATGGGACAGGAGTCTCCTGGCATGACACCGGCCCCCTTCCCGGCCCTGCTCGCCGGCGCCCCACTCTCTTAACATCCCATTAAGAGAGATGGAGTTCTCCCGGCTCTGCTTCCCGGGGAAGGGAACATACTCGGACCCCCGCTCTCCAGGGACCCGCTTTGCCCACAGAGCTCCTACTACACCCATTTCAGAAGCAGAAATTAGAGCTTTTTGCAGGAGGCGCTGGCAGGCCCCAGGCCCCAGGCGGGGAGACTGAGCCTGGGGCCCCGGGACCCTCTCTCCTCAGCTCACACTCTGGAAGGTGGGCCGGGCCCCTTGCCCCGGTCTCCCTTGTGGAGTCACAGGGGCTGGGGGCTTCTGCGGCAGGGGCAGGGCCAGGCCAAGAGGAAGACAGCCCCAGCCTCCAGTGGGGAGCCACAGGGCAAATGGAAGAGAGAGCCTGCGATGTGGCATTACGTACAGGGACTCTGGAGGAGTTGGGGGTGGCCCTCATGCCCGGCTAGCCACCCAGGCGCGCAGGGCAAGTGAATGCTGAGCCCCCCTGGCGCCACGTTTTCCATGGAGTCCCAAGGGTCCGTGTAGGCGGCAGGAGGAAGACTGGGTCATTCCAGGTGCTGGAGCGGCGGATGTGACCCCAGACGCGACCCTCCCAAGGGGGAGGGCAGAATGTTCTGAGTCAGGGTCTCCTGCCCCTGGCGTTTCAACGAAGTACCCCTCCCCTAAGTCAGGGAGGTGGGGACTGGAGGAAGTCCCGCGGGGGTCACCCCGGGAGAAGGGGATGGAGCCCCCCTGCCTGGGCCGTCCACCAGCACTGCCCCACTCCATTTGTAGGACAAAAGTCCCGCAGCGGAGTAAAGAGAAGGGGAGAGGGGAGTGGTGGGGGCAGGAGGCCCGAGCTCCCCGGGAGGAAGGAGAGCCCCTGGGGGGGAGGATGGAGGGAGATGACGGCGATCGCCCAGGACGCAGGAGGCCCTCAGAATGGGGGACGCGACCGGGCTGCCGGAGAGCCCTTGAGTCCCCGAAGCCCGGGGTCCCGGATGGGATCAGGGTGCCTTGGGGCCCGGGCCGGGGAGAGCCGAGGGGCCGCCGGCGAGGGCAGCGCGCACCGGCCCCGCGGGGCCCGGCCCCGTCCGGCTGGTGCCGGCGCCGCGCACCCCCGGGCATCCCGGCCGCCGCCGCCGCCGCCGCGCCCGTCCGTCCCGGGAAACTGAGGCCAGCCCCAGGGCGCCCGGCGCGGCATCTTCCCATCCCCGAGAGCCGCCCGGCTCCCCCCGCCCCCGTGCATCCCCGGCCCCGGGGGATGGAGCCCGGGGCCCCCCGCGCCCCCGGCCCGGCCTCCCGCCCGACGGCCCGGCGGGGCCCCCACTCACCACGGAGACATGGCGGCCCGGGCCGGGGCGGCGGCGGCGGAGCGGGGCGCGCGGGTCGCAGCTCTGGACGCCGCGGCTCGGGGACGGCGGGCGGGGACGAGGACGGGGCGGGCGGGAGCAAAGGCCGGGCCGCGCCCCCGCCGCCACTTTCCTCTTCCCCGAGGCCGGAGGAGGGACCAGGAGGGGCGGCGGCGGCCCAGGTGCGTTAACCCCTTCGGCGCCCCCGGCCCTCCAGCCCCTCGGCCGCCGGGCCAGCCCTCCGCACTGCGGCGAGCGCCGGTGGCCCATTTCCGAGAGGCGGAACCCGAGGCCCGACCGGGAGTGGCCCAGTGGGGGACCTCGGAGCCCACGGAGGCCACTCCCCTCACCCCTGTCCCCGGGTACTCGGTTTCCTTCGCGGAGTTTTGTGGGGTCGTCGGCCCTTCTGGACGACTGTGAACCAGGACACCACCCACCTCCAGCCTTCCTGGCGCCCCGCGGTCCCCACCGTCTCTCTCTGGCCCCATTAGGATTTTTTTCCGTGGTAGGGGAGGCAGGGGAGGACAAAGCTTCCTTCCCCCCCCCCCCCCCCCCCGCCACTTGCCTTCTCCCCTTCCCCCCTTCCCACGCAGGCCTCCCGGCACCCCGCTGTTGGGGCCCCAGGGCCGCGGCGCAGGGCTAGTCTGCGGGGAAGAGGGGCTGCGGGGAGCAGTATCTGTAAGATGAGGAGGCTAGGCTGCCTGTGTCAGGGGCCATAGCTCTGGAAGCCATTTTCTGTGCCCCAAAGTGGAGGTCCTCTCCCGCTCTGGGGTCCCTCTCGCCTCAGAGGTCTCCCCTCACTACCAAGGGAAGGTCTGCTTGCCTGGCCTCAACCTCTTCTCTTCTCATCCATCAACAAATATTTCACTCAAACCGCTTTTTTGTCCTCAGCCTTCATTAATCTGCTTTGTGTGCCAGACCCAGCGGCTCCTAGGGAGAAGGCTCAAGTAGACATAGGACACTGAGGGGCAGTCTTGGCCCAGCAGGGTCTGGGGTGATGGGTGTTTCCATCCAGCTGACTTCCAGAATCGGCTAGCAGGTAAAAACGGTTGCCCACAGGTCTGTTCTAGTCTTGTTGCGTGCTCAGGTCCCGTTGCTGAGCTGAGAGCAGGACCTCAGACCTCAGAAATGCCCATAGAATTGAAATGGAAGCACTTAACAGTCCAATAAGTAATAGCTAACATTCATCAGTCAGTTACAATGTGCCAAGCATGATTCTAGGCTCACACATGAATAACTTAATCCCTGAGGCTTGTACTATTTTATTCCCGGTTACAAAGGAGGATATAGAGGTGCCCAGAGGGGAAAAACCCAGTGGGCCAGGTCTCATAGTTAGTAAAGAAAGCCTGGAGTCCAGCCTGGCTCAGGAAGCAGGTCCTGAGCCCTTCTCCAGGGGACAGCAGCGGCAGGGAGTTATTTTCCTGCTAAGGGGTAGCCTCGAGGGGCCCCGGAGGTCTCTGAGTACAGAGGCTGGTGGTAGGAAGTCTGATGAGGCTGCTCCTGCCAAGCTGGGTCCCAGGACCCTGAGCCTGGGGGGAGGGGCCTCTTTATTTTATTTTATTTTATTTATTTTTTAAGATTTTATTTTTAAGTAATGTCTACACCCAACATGGGGCTCAAACTCACCACCCTGAGATCCAGAATCACATGCTTTCCTGACAAAACCAGGCAGGAGCCCCCAGCTCTTTCTTTAAGACTCCAGGGCCCCTGGGAAGAGGAGGAAAAAACCCCCAAGATGCAATAGAATTTGCCAGCATGTTGCAAGTTCCAATCAGGGAATGTGAAGGGCCTTCCAGGCAGAATTCCAGAGAAGAACCCTGGGGCCAGTGCTCTTTCTAATGGCCCCTCCCAAGTACTGGGGCAGAGGAGGGTCTGACTTGCAGCCCAGAGCCGCTCCTTGGCTTGGCTGCCTGCCTCTGGCCCACAGGGCACCCGGCACAGCTCTCCACTGCCCGGGCTTCTGGGTTCTGGCCCTTCACCTTGCAAGTGTGGTCTGGAGGGATGGCCGGGACAGCCTGTCCAGCCTCAGCACTGATCTCTCATCCAGACGCTGTGGGGTTTCCTCAGATGCCTGGGAGGGACAGACACAGCCGCCCCTGGGAAGGGGTTTGGAGGTCGGGTTCTGAGACTAGAGGGGCGGGGGTGGTGTCAGGGCTCGACACTTCCGGGCTGTCAGTAGGGGCAGGTGGCTTATCCCCTTGAGACCTCAATTTCCTGCTAGCACAGGGTTACGCGAGATGACGCATGCGAGGTGCGTAGATTAGTGTCTCTTACACAGTGACATTATGACAGGTTGGCTGCTGTTGATATTATTGTTAATATTTGGCCCGACCCAAAGGCCCTGGAACCACCGGGGCTCACCGGGGTGGTAATGGGGGGAGCCGCTGAAGGCCAACTGCGTGTTTGCCAGTGGAATTCAGTTCATTGAGAGGAAGAGTTTGTCATCGTGGATTCATTTGATCTGTGCGTACCTAAGTGGAACTGAGGGGCGGGGAACGGATGAAAATTAAATATTTAGTCCCTGACTGTAGGGGGGGCTCGCGGCAGGGGGTGTGGGAGCCTGGCCAGCCCCTCGTCAGTTCTCACCCCGTAGGCTGCTTGGGCCTGTCCCTATCAGGAAGCACTCTGACGGTCACCTAGTCTGGCTCATTCCACCCGTCCCAGCCCCTGCAGGCAGAGCCCCAACGGATTCCTGCTGCTTATCTCAAACCACAGTTAAGCAAGGCCCTTAAGGAGGGGGAGGTCAGTCTGCAGATGGACTCTGTCCAGCCCCACAGCCCTGGCTGAAGGCTCTAGAAGCTGCAGAACCCAGGTCCCAGGCGGTGGGGGGCTGGGGTGCGGCTGGGTATGGGGAGTGGTCTGTCTGTAGCCTGGAGAGAGGATGGGGGAATGGGAAGGGTAGTTGCATAGGCGGTGGGAGTCCCATGCAGTGGTGGCAGCGGGTTAGATGTCCCTGTCCCCGTCTCCTCTTTCAGGCTGACGTGCTGCCCCAGAAGAGGGAGCGGAGAGAGCCCTGAGGTGGGAGAAACTCGGAGAAGCTCCCTTTCCGTCACTCGTTCCCCCCTCTCCTTTGCACCTTCCCTCTCCCTCCCTCCCCATCCCTGCTCCTTCTTTCCTCTGCCATTTCCATTTCTCCTTTCCTATTCCCACTTTCTTTTATAGCTGCTCCACCAACCCTCTGGAACTGTTTGGAATCCAGATCCTGCTAGTTTGACGCAAGAGCACTATGGGCTTTCACGGGGGTGACGGGTTGGGGGGGGCGGGGCGGGGATGAGGACCTGCAGAGATTCGGGTGTGGGGAGACATCTGAAAGGCCAGAGGTTGTCCAGGGTCAGACTTTGACTGGACAAAGTGGGGCTGACTTGGGCCCCAGAGAACCTGAATGCCGGGTGTGGGGAGCCCTGGGCGCCTTACAGAGGCCAGGAGGGGGAGGCATCTATAGAGGAAAGTGGGGGCAGAGTTGGAGAGAGCTGAGGAATTCGCTTTTCCCAGCCAAGCAGGTGGCAGTTAAGGAAGCACCAGTTGGTTTGTGAGCTTGACGACGGGGGGTGGGGGGGGGTGGGGTGGCCACGGCCTCTGTGTGGGGTCTGAGGGGGCCAGGGAGAGACAGCAAGGAGCGTTCAGTGCCAGGCGAGGGTGTTACTGTGCACCCAGGATACCCAGGCCCATGGCTGAGGCCAGGATTATTTTAGGGCTCTTCTGGGTGTGAGAGACAGAAGCCCAACTCACACTAGCTCAAGCAAAAAGAATGTATTTGCTCCTATGATGGGAAACTCTCTCTCTTGCTCTCTCTTGTCTCCTCACAACCCACACCCCCTGCCCATCTCCTGGCTCTTCTACGTCCGCAGGCTCCTTCCACGAGGAAGAGAGAGGCAGGTATGCAGATGGCCTCAGGATTTGTCGCTCTATCTTGATCCCAGAGGAAAGAGGTGTTTTGGTTTTTTGGTCTCCGTCTCAACCTCCATATATAGAATTCCAGGGAAAGCGTCTCGTGTTTTGTCTTGGTCACATGCCCACACCCGGGTCAATGGCTGTGGTCGGTGGGCCAGGGCCTTGGGATTAGCAGCCCCACCAGCAACAACCTGGAGGGGCAGGTCCCTCAAAGGAAGCTGCTCTTATCAAGGAAGCAGGGACATGGGTGTCTTCTCACTGGTGCCAGATTCCCTCGGACTCTCAAATCACCCTCCAAAACAAACCTGTAAGACCGGGGTGGGTGGGGGGCAGAAGGGAGAAGAAAGGGGGGGGGGTGGCTGTGCGGGAAATGTCCCCCCACGCTTTCCTGACACATCCTTCACTCCTGGGAGAGAGGAGGCCCCAGGCTGGCCAGTGGAGGGTGGACGCGGCTCCTCCTCGGAGGACTGGCCACTCTCTGGCACTTTTCCCTCGCCTGGGCCCCCACTGGCTGGTTTGGGGGTTAGCCACGGCCACCTACGGCTTTGGGGGTGTAGGAGCCAGTCAGGTGAGGCTGGAGCTGGGCTGGGCCAGAACGGAAGGTGCGTTCCCCAAGTGCGGCGCTGGCCCCGGGCCAGCTCCTGTCGGCGGCTGTGCTGGGCACACGCACGGACACACATTCTCTCTCACGGACACAGACACGGCGGGAGGCGAGTGCACACTCGGAGCCGAGCAATGCGGGCGGACAAACGACACCAAGCCAGGCAACACACACAGGCACCAGGAACGTACGTCCGCTTGCGGGCGTCCATTCTGAGACACGCACCACACACGTACACAGCTGGACAGACTCACAGACGCATTCACACGGAAGCACGCACATTCAGAGAGACACACGCATAACACTCTCATTCGTACCCACCGGAGATATGTGTGTGCCTAGTGAAAAAGACACATAGACACCCCCCTACACAGGGATACACATTTCTGGAGAGACACGCGCGCTCTCTCACACACACACACACACACACACACACACACACACACACACACACACCTGGACAGACACACAGGCACGGACACTCAGCACACACGGAGACACAACTAGAGAGACACATACGTTCACATACATACGCTCACATGCCCGAGGTTTTTCCCAGGGGCCTCCCCTAACCACCTCATCTGCTACCGGTGAACCCCCAGCTGGCAGGCCCACAGGCACCACCTT